ACCCCATTGTTAGGTTAGCATATTTATTACGGTGGATTGAGCTCTTTGTCAATGCCAACATTTTCAGGTGCAACTTGAACTCCTTCCGCATATATCATATTTAGCATTTATTTTTTATTGTTGTACTTTTTGCTTAAAATTTTCCTCTACAATCAAATTGTGGAACCGGAAATCTTTAATGAGTATTAAATATAACAAAATAACAGTTTATATGTACTCATATGAGGGCTTTCTAATAAAGTATGTCAGATATACATATATACTCCACAGTGTAGTTTCCATTTTATAGCTTTGATGTACTTTTTTTTGTTGTCAAACCCTTAACCTTATTTAAGTAATTATTTTCGATGGCAGCTTCATTTATTTTTCCTCTTTCACTAATATTTCTTCTCTTACACTTGAGTTATTTTTCGACTGTTATCCTTAAATGCACATTTATTCTGTCACCTCATACCTCGGCGCTCATTTGTTTTTTGAAGTTTTTGCTAGGATATTAAAACAAATCTTCTCATTATCATTTGTTCTTTAACCAAAGCAATTTACAAAACCGTTTCACCTTTCCCATTTGCCAGTGCATTGGAGCACTAAACACTATTTTCATGTTATCCTTCGAAGACTTGCTCGGTGTTTTTATGTGTTTGCCAACGTAGAAGGACGTAGAAGCCAACGTAGAAGTGTATAAGTTAACACGTAATCAGCCACACTTCTATGTTTAAATAAAAATATCCGATGAATTATGTTTAAAAGCTCTCAGGTGAGAGTGTTGTAAAAAGCTCCCTCACATATGAAAGAGTTCAGTTCAATTTTGGCTCTGTAGTGTAAAACATATATTTAATAAAGAAATAAATAATTGATAATTGGTAATAAAATAATTGGCGCCCAACGTATGGCTCGAATAAAAAAAGTTTAAGGGCAATAAATGTTAAATGTGGAAGTAATGCTGAACCAAAATTCAGCTCCAAACACACCGAAGTGAAAAAACACGTTTTAAGCAAATACTGCGTGCGGAAAAGCTTGTCTCAGCACGTTTTTTGTATTTTGTTAAACGCGATATTTAAATTATTAATAATTATAAAAGAAAACAACTAAGTCAATTTAAATTGAAAATGACTATAAATTAGTGGATTGATTTATTTTATAAAAATCCGAACAGAAATAAAAATTGTTGTACAGTGGGAACTGTCCACGAAGAAAGAAACATTTGCATTAACTTTACCTCTTTTTGCATTTTAAAACAACAAACAATTTTTTTATTACAAACAAAAAAGCATTGCAAACGTGCAGCTGAGAGGTGATTTAAAATAAAGACAAAAAATATTTAAAGTAATCAACATATAAACAATTTAAAAGAAAATAATTGAAGTGTGCTGGTGGTTTCAAAAGGTACACAGTTGTAATACGAACAAAACATAATATAACATTTGGAGGAACTCAGGGCGCGACCAGTCACTTTCGCGACAACAGGAGAATTTTTTTATATTATTCTTAGATATTTAAGATATTTAAATTTACAATTGTATTGCTAGAATTAAATAAATTTTTTGAAATAATATTATTTTTGTATTATTATTGTTGCGATAGCCCTCCCTTGCAAACTCTTTATTAGAAACCTATTACCAATAGCGGCTCTGCAATAGAAACTTAAACATATACAGGAACGCCATAGAGTTGTTCATAGTGAAAAAATGAATGAAGACCAGCTGAAAGCCGTAATTGAGGCTGCCGTTAGTGGTGCTCTTGCCTCACAGAGGCAAATCTTTGAAAAACAATTAGATGAGTTAAGTAAACGTCTAAATAAAGTTACAGTAAATACCCCGGATGTAGAAATCTATGAGGAAACAAGAATAATCAGTGGAATAAAATGTGAAGAATCACTTGACATTGTCAAATCTCTGCCTGA